CCCTGCGCGTTGCAGAGCAGAGCTGGGTGGGTATTAACATTTCACTCTGATCTGAACATGGTGAATTTTGAAATTTTGAGTTTTTTAAACTTATATTTGAGGTGCTTCTTCATTAAATGCCCCGGGCAAGGATGCAGTTAGAGCTGTTGTCCAGTGTGGATGTAGGGGACATCCCCCAGCCCCTCTTTTGGATTTGTCCTTCACTGGAGAGAACTGAACTCAACAGACCTCCCCGTGGTTGTGTTTTCACAGGTTGCCAACGCTGTTTCTGTCAAAGGGATTTACAAACAGATGCCTGGTTGTTTTAATTTCCTTCGGAAAAAACTTTTCTTTAAAACACAGTGAGGCCTGGACCCTTCACCCTGCCTTCTCTTGTGCTCCAGAACCTTCCTGCTCCAGGCCTGGTGGTGGCTGGGGCCTGGACTTTGCTGCAACTCAGGGACCTGCAGCCTGTACAGGGTCGGATCTTTCCCTGTCGTGCCGGGCTCTTAGCAGCTTCCAGACCGGGGACACATGCTCAGCAGGGGCAGGCGAGGGACAGAAGAAAGCCGTGGATACCTCGTGGCCTCTTCACTAGTGGCTGGCCCTGGGCTAGTGACTGTGGCCTGCGAGCCCTGTGTTTTCTCTAGACGGGGCTTAATCCCCACACTATGACGTGTGGGGCTGTCCTGTCTGTTGTAGGATGTTTAGCACCATCCCGGTCCTCCACCCACTCGATGCCAGCAGCACCTGTCCCCGAGTAGGGCCAACTAAAATGTCTTCAGACATTGCCAAATATGCTCTGGGGGACAAAAGTGCCCCCACTTGGGAATCACTGATCTGCAGAGATTTTTGGCTACAAACAAACCAGCATGCATCTCTCTTAGATCAGCAAGCCGGAGGCTTCTAGAGTCTGAACAGCTGGAATCTGTGAATTCAAATGAAGTTTTAAAAGTTGTTAATTTTTTCTGTATTGCATTATTCTTAACAAATAAATTTTGGGGAAATATGGATTCTCTTTGCCTATTTCCCCCCTCATTTTGCTCGAAACTTTTGTTCTTCCATATAAAGGACACTTTTGTTTTTTTCGAAACATTTCCCCATGTCTCTTGGGGTCTTGCTATGTTGCTCAGACTGGCCTCAAACTCCTGGGCTCAAGCAATCCTCCTGCCTCAGCCTCTGAAGTAGCTGAGCATACAGGTGCACGCCACCATGCCTGGGCTCATTTCCACATATCTTATTTCACTTGATCGTTATCCCTTCCCAGGAAGGCAACTAGGGTGGGAACCATGTGGTCAGGGAGTTAAGTCTCTTGTCCCAGGGAACACAGTTATCCAGTGGAGATACCTGGCTGGAACCTGGGTCTCCTGAGTGTCAGCCTATGCCTGCCATGTGCCTCGCTTGCCAAAGCACCCCCTGGGCTGCAGTGTGAGTGTGGTGTGCAACAGTGGGCCGTCGGGCTTCCCCAGAGAAGGCCCCACCCCTGGGTCTTCTAAGCTCTCCTGACCCCAGACTATTTCTTGTTCTTAGGGCCCTGGATGTTAGATGATTTGCTAATAAGACTCTCACCAAGATGTGATTCATGTAGTTGTTACTTTATTATAATATCATTTTCTTTCTGTGACCTTCCCAAGTCTGAAACAGTGGTGGAGACTTCTTGTGGTTAGTTCGTTGCAATCGCCTGCAGGGTGCACACAAAATAATCAAGTTAACCACACAGCAGTGCTGCGCTTGGCAGTTTCCCGTCATTGTCCTTCCAGGCTGTGCTACTCATATGAATCCCAGGTGGCCTGCGCTGGGGTTGCGCCTGCCTGAGGAGTTCTGATGATGTTTGCCAGAAAAAGATGTGATCACAGCTTTTCACTGACCTGTTAGGGTCTTCCTATAAAGGGGGTCTTAGCTTGTCTCCTGTTTGGGTTTTAGGGACAGGGGGAGGGGGGTCTGTTAACCCCTAAAAATTATATGCCAAATGTGTGGATGGGTGAGCTTTTAGATTTCCTTTGTTTCTCATATCAAAACAGCTGTTTGCAAGGCACTGTTAGCACTGTGGGTGGGCTGTCACCTGGTTTCAGAGGCTGTTTGGCAGTATCTATTAAACATTTTAATATGCCAAGTTCACGATCCAGTAAAAGCTGCCATAGCACAACACTCAGACCCGTGTGCAATAATTATGTGCAAGAATGTTCACTTGAGCACTGTAAGTGTCAAACATGTGAAACAGGTGAAAGCTTGGATCATTATATTCACAATATGAAGCACTGTTTGGCTGCTCGAAAGAATGACACCGATGTATGTACTGACATGTAAAATGTGAGTGGGTGGGCCGGGCGCGGTGGCTCACGCCTGTAATCCTAGCACTCTGGGAGGCCGAGGCGGGCGGATTGCTTGAGGTCAGGAGTTTGAAACCAGCCTGAGCAAGAGCAAGACCCCGTCTCTACCATAAATAGAAAGAAATTAATTGGCCAACTAATATATATATAGAAAAAATTAGCCGGGCATGGTGGCACATGCCTGTAGGCCCAGCTACTCGGGAGGCTGAGGCAGAAGGATTGCTTGAGCCCAGGAGTTTGAGGTTGCTGTGAGCTAGGCTGACGCCACGGCACTCACTCTAGCCTGGGCAACAAAGCGAGACTCTGTCTCAAAAAAAAAAAAAAAATGTGAGTGGGTGTTAAGTGAATAAACGAAGTTGCAGAAGAGTGTGGAGAGCAGGACCCTATCTTTTGGTTAGCAGACAGCATGTGTCTATGTACATATGTAGACAGTTTATACAGGCATGTGCCGCCCAGAAGACCACACCTGAGCTGTTAACAGTGACAGCTCTGGAGAGTGGAATTGTGGATGTGAAACGATAGGGGACTTCTGCTTTTTAACTTGATACACTCATTCTTTTAATATTTTTACAAACAGTATGCATTATCTTCTGAAAAAAAAAAAATAAAGCTAGTGATTGCTGAAGGTCCCTGTGTTGCTGTCATTCAGGAGACATCTGTTGAAAGGACAAATGCCCTTGGCCACTTGTCTCCTCCTGAAGCTTCACTGCTCAGATCTTTTTTTGGCAGCTTCCTGACCTTGTCACCTGTCTGGGTTTCTCCAGGCAGGTGCTCCCGAGCACCCACAGGCTGCAGCTGTGGGTGAGTCCAAGCTGCACATGGTGTGCCCCTGGGCTGGGACCACTGCAAGGTTTCATTAGGCCCTCTGCAGCTGCCGGGGGACTGCCCCCCCCCCCCACCTGAGGACAGCTGGGCGCTTGGCTCTTCCACTTCTGGAACCGGTTCCCGGGCATCTGTGCCTGCCCTGGCTGCCCTCCCGTGAATGCAGGACCTCTGCCCAGTGCCTTGCAAGGCTCGCTTTCCCAGCTGATCCCTGCTGCCATCTGGCCATGCTTTAGGGTCTGGCGTGCTCTGTCATGCTTGTGTGTGTTGCTAGGAACAGCTGACACTGGGACAAGGAGTCAGGACAATTGCCCCTGGCCCCTGCTTTGAGCCCCCAAGGTGCTGCGGAGACCAGCTGCACAGAGACTCAGCAGCAGCTGGGGCTGGAAAGGGGTCCTAGGACTGGGCTGGGAAAAGGCCCCTCAGCATCCTCTTGTCCAGGCCAGTGTCATTTGAAATGCTGGCGGGACCACAGCAGCTAGAGACTCACATTTCCCTCTGCCCAAATGAAAATGGCTTTCCCCCAATTTACCAAAAAAAAAAAAAAAAGCAAAAGCTAATTAATGGCTACTCTTTTTTCTGATTTTCCATTTTTCTCCAACAAATTTTGCTGGAATCTCTGATGCCTATGAGCACGTGTTGGCAAAGAAATGGCAGCAGACAGAGCAGTGAACGAGGAGCTGGCAGGTGTTCCTGGGAAACCTTGGAAACAGCCACCTGCATGTTCTGACTGCAGTTTTCCTCCTGTGACCACATGCCCATGGCTGCAGGTTCATATTTGGTTTCATGAGTGTGAGTCGAAGTCAATCTAACAGTTCTCTGCAAGTTAAACCTAAGCAGTCAGATGCCAGCTTTCCCCTTCTGCCACAAAGGCCACACCGTCACTTGCTCTGGCTCCTAAGAATGTGGAGGAGCCCTGGTCTGGGTCAAGTCCCATTTTACAGGAGAGCAAACTGAGGTGGTGGCAATGCCAGGGGTGGTTAAGAAAGTGCCTCTGATTGGCAGAGTGTCCTCTTCTTCCCTCCCTGCGTCCATCACTGGGCTCGGGGGCCCCCACCCTCCCCCAGGTCCCCTTTTCTAGTGATGACACTTCCTGTTCTGCTTCGGCTCACTGCTGCTGTGCCCATGGCTGCTCCCTAATACTGGTGACTGCTATTGTTTTGTTAATACATAATCTCATGATTACTGTAAACAAATGTGTGTTCACTGTTCAAAAATACAGAAATTGAGCTGGTGTGGAAGCTCACAGGGGACAGCTGTCTGAGTTCACATTCACAAGAATAGGGGGCCACCTCAGCCCCATGTGCCTGGGTCTGTCCTTTTCCACAGCTGGAAGTCGTGAAATCCCAGAACTGCAGCCCCGAGCCGACTGGGAAGAGTGGCTGTGGACTGATTTCCAATAATTAAGGCTGCAGAGGTCTCAGACTGTTAGGTTTTGGGCTTTGCAGATGAATCCGAGTGGTTCTAGCACTGGCTGGTGGACTCGGTGCCTACACACAGGGAAGCAAAACCAAAATGTCGGCCAGGCGAGGTGGCTCACGCCTGTAATCCTAGCACTCTGGGAGGCCGAGGCGGGTGGATTGCTCAAGTCAGGAGTTGAAACCAGCCTGAGCAAGAGCGAGACCTCGTCTCTACTATAAACAGAAAGAATTAATGGCCAACTAATATATATAGAAAAAATTAGCCGGCATGGTGGCACATGCCTGTAGTCCCAGCTACTCGGGAGGCTGAGGCAGGAGGATTGCTTGAGCCCAGGAGTTGAGGTTGCTGTGAGCTAGGCTGACGCCATGGCACTCATTCTAGCCTGGGCAACAAAGTGAGACTCTGCCTCAAAAAAAAAAACAAAAAAACCCCAAAATGTCCCACTAATCCTCATGGACCCGCCTGAGGAAGGAGAACCCTTTGTTTTCAACCTCTGTGGACAAGGCCACGCTCCATGTTCCTTTTCGCTCAACTTTGTGCACACAGAAACTTTGAGGGGGGGTCTTGCCTACACCTCAGGAGGAAGGAGGGGTTCTCAGACCCCTCCTGCCGGCAGGGGCAGGTGAGCAGGGCAGTGCCCCTGGGCTCAGGGCTCGCGTGGCTCTTACCGACTGGATCCAGGAGATGTAGTTGGAGACCCGAGTGAAGACGGAGGGCTTGTGGTAGTAGTTGCAGCTGAGGGAGGACGAGCAGCTGACCACGCCGTGCACCTCCCACTTGCCTCAGCGGCCCCCCGGAGTCCCCCTGAGGAAGGCCGAGCATTAGAACCTCCGTGCTTGTGGCAGTCCTGTTGTTCTACCGTGGGCCCCTCTGCCCTCTGGGGCCAGCCCTGGTGTCACAGCTCAGGGTGGTACCGCCATCCCGACAAGCGCTAGCACCCCTCCTTTCCGTGCGCCCGGCGCCGGGCTGAGCGCTTTCTACGCCTCGTCTCAGCGAATCGTCACAAAGCCCCGTGAGGTTCACCTAGGAGCCCTGACAGTGTTCCCGGCCACCGAGGGGGGAATTTCCTGGGGGCGGGGGGTTGTCTATGTGGGCAGAGAGTGTGGGGTACGGAGTGATCTCAAAGGTGTGGAGCTGCTTCCACTCCGTCCCACTCTGCACTACGGGACAAAGTCCAAAGGGCTGTGCTGTGTGTCTCCAGGAAGGCTTCTGTGGCAGCTGCCTTGAGGGGACACATTGGGCCGTTGATGAGATTAATTGGACAGATAAGCCAGAAGTGCCCTCACCCTCAGAACGCCTCCCCTTGGCTCCATCCCTACGCAGAGGACAGAATAAACAAGAGGATGACAGTAATGGGAGGCCTTGAGGAGACCCAAGGAAGGACTTCCCAGCATTGAGGGGGTGGACACTGCAAGGAGAATCTCAAAACGTGTCTTCTGGAGGCCACAAGGTCAAAGGTCACGGGATATGTCCGGAGCTGTTTCTGGGTGCTTCTGCCAGGAGGCGGGGAGGACAGACCCCTGGACTCCTGGAGCCTCTCTCCCCATCCCCAGCCACACTTGGTGGCATAACGGGGGCACCTGGTTTTCTGTACTCACGAAGCAGCTGGCGACCACGCCGTCACCCCCGGCGCAGACCATGTTGGTCTTCACGATGCTGCCCCACCAGCCAGAGCTGGAGCACGTGGCGTAGTCCACGACCAGCAAGCGGCCCTGCTGCAGCACGTCAGGGCTCTTCCCCTTGGCTGAATGACCAGAGAGAGAGAGCATTACAGGGGTGAAGGAACTCCTGAGAAAAAGGGAAGTAGTGGACACCTGCTGGGCTTTCTGTCTACCTCTTTTTTTGGGGGGGGCAGGGTCTTTCTCTGTGATCCAGGTGGGAGGGTGGTGGTGCGATCATAGCTCACAGCCACCTCAAACTCCGCGGCTCAAGCGATCCTCCTGTCTCAGCTTCAGAGTATGTGGGAATATAGGAGCACAGCACCAGGACACCCGGATAGTTTTTCTATTTTTGGTAGAAACAAGGTCTCGCTGTTGCTGGGGCTGTAGCCTCCTCTTTCTGGCCCCCGTTACTCTCTCCCCTCCACAGCGTTGCCATGGCAGCAGCCCTGTGTGTCTATACTGTTTGTCTACACTACCGTACAGTTGATTGGTTAGTGGCACATGGGACAGCTTTCGTTATGGGGAGTGCAGGGTCTGCCGAGGTCTCCAGGGACCCTGTGGAGCTCCAGAAGGCGGGAGTCACAGAGTAAATGCTCTTCTGACTCTGGCCTTGGGCCGTACGGAAGATGTCATGCGGTCTGTACAAGTCTCATTCCATCATAGGCATCGTGACAGCTGACACCGGTGGCTGCGATGTGCCAGGCCCTGTCTAAGGGCCTCCCCTGGGAGCCCTCCTTCAATTGCCTGGACAGCTCTGTGCTGTGGGCGCTATCATCATCTCCATTTTACAGCTGAGGACTGCGGCGTGGACAGGCTACGTAACGTGCCCAAGGCCACACAGCTATCTAGCGGGAGAGCTGGGATTTGAACCCAGGCACACTTACCAGTCTATGCCATCTGGCCTCTCCAGGGCGGCGAGAGGCCCTGGATGGACAGGGGTGACATCACCTCCCTTCCCTCTGGGCCCCCCACTTACTTTGCAGATTTCCCCAGCCGGTGACGTAGCAGGGGTAGTGGTTGGGGAGAATGGTGCCAGCAGGTGGGAGGCAGGCCAGCTGGATCTTGTCACTCAGGGAGACAGACACAGCCAGCTTGAGCAGGCCAATGTCATTCCTGGGTCAGTGGAGAGGCCGAGCACGAAGAGAGGGTTGACTTTCTCTGCCCTGTGGGGCTTTGGAGAGCTCTGAGACCCTTGTCATCTTTCTGTGGACATGACCCCCAGGCTGCCCTGACAGGCAGGACAGACGCCTCGTTGGGAGGGGGGAAGGCAGAGAGACTGTGCCCTACTCCCCTGCCAGTCGTGGGATCTGCAGCGCCATCCCTGGCACGGAGTAGTGGCATGGTCAGTGAGGGGCTGGGGTGGCCAGGCGGCCAGCAGGCACAGCTGGTAGGAAACCCAGGTCACTCTAGCAGTCTTTGCTTCTCCCTTCCCCAGGTCAGCCCCCACCCCAGGGACCTTTGGGGCTGGCTCCACGCCTAAGAGTCAGGGCTCTTTCCACCTCCCTGCAGAGCCAGCAAAGGACGGGGTGAGGCTGAGCCCACTGCCTGTGTGAGATCCCTGTTTCCTTGCCAGCCTTACCCTCCAAGCGCACCCAGACGTACCCTTTGGTAACCTGGCTGGAGTTCCACTTCTCGTGCACCACGAGTTTGGAGACCATGACAGCCAGCGAGCCCGACTCCTCGGTGGAGGGCTTCTGCCGGCCCAGCACCACACGGTAGGTCCAGGAGGATCTGGGAGAAAGCGGGCCGAGCGGAGAGGTTGGGCTCCCAGCTGCCCCCACTGGCAGGGACACTCTAATCAGCAGGCGTCCTCAAACGATGGCCCACGGGCCACATGCAGCTGTTTTTGCCCGTTTGTTTTTTTACTTCAAAATAAGATATGTGCAGTGTGCATAGGAATTTGTTCATAGTTTTTTTTTTTAAATTATATTCCAGCCCTCCAACAGTCTGAGGGACAGTGAACTGGCCCCCTGTTTAAAACATTTGAGGATCCCTGCAATGTGTCCCCTCCAGAGGCCTGGCTTTGGGTAGTGATGGGGTTGTAAGTGACTGCTGGTGGAGCCACCAGCTGGAGTTTGGGGGTTTTTCTTCCCCAGGGGCAGTTGGTTCTAATGTAACATAAACTATATAGCATAATAACTACAACTATGTAATGATTGTTACTGCACAAACTACAAGCTACAATACGAAAGTTATGATACCATAATCTCTATGTTGTTTTGAAGGGATTGAGATGAACACAGAGACACAGGAGTTATTTGCCCTCAAGGGCATTTTCTGGTTTAACCCTCCAGCTCTCATTTTCAGATGGGGAAACTGAGGCCCAGAGAGGGGTAACTAGTCCCACAGAGTCCCACAGTTGGTGAGAAATCAGGACCAGAAGCCAGGACTGCTGACTCCCAAGCCTTATTAATTTCCCATCACCTCGTAGAACTTATTATGAATTAGGTGGGAGAAAGGAACCACCCCTAGCAAGGAGTGACACGGGCCCAGCCAAACCTCAGGAGCTTCGGTGAGTTCCAGCTGATGTGATAAGCAGAGGTCACAGGGAAGGAAGAGGATAAGTGAACAACGTTGCAGAATCTTCTCTTTCCCCCTGGGCCTTATAATTGGCGTATATGTTATAATTCACTTTAATTGAGCACTTACTAAGTGCCAGGCCCCTTTGATCCACACTCAATTCTGTTATCCCATTTTTGCAGGTGATGGTATTGTAGCTTGGAGAAGTTATTTAAGTTGCTAGAGGGAACCCAATTCCAGATCCAGAGGCCACATCTACAACCCCGGAGGGCAGGGATTATACCGTCCCCTCCTCTGCATCTTCCCTTAGTGCCTGGCACAGGTCAATCGGCCCATGCCACGTATGGACCCATGGACCGTCCAACAGACAGAAGCATAGATGGACGAAGCTTGTGCCTTGGTCGTGCAGGTGGTCATTTGCACAGCGTGGTGCAGGCCATCTGGGCCCCTCCCAGAGGCAGCACTGGCGGTGGGCAGGCCAGGCGCCTGGGGCGTGGCAGTTACCTGATGCAGTGGGCAGCTGTCATGATCCAGTTGTTGGCCACCAGGGACCCTCCGCAGGTGTGGTACCACTTGTCATTGAAGCTGTACTGCAGGGAGACCTGTGGAGAAGCACAAGCACGCTGGTGGCTGAAAGGTCCAGGCCGCGCTGCTGTCCAGTGTCCCGAGAGCAGGGCTGGGACCCGGTAAGGCGAGTGAGGCACTCACAGGTGCAAAGCTTAAGGAGGTGCCAAAAAACTCAGCCATCAAGAGAAAAATCATTTTAATGCTATTAAAAAAATCAAAATTGATATAAAAATTCAGGGCAAACAAAATATCAAAAACTGAAATAGACAATTCAAACATAACTGCTCTGAACATCTTTTTGCAGGTTGATTTGTTGAGATCTTTCCCTTCTTGGGAGCTATTGCTTAGCTCCCTCCGATTTAATACGTCTCAAAGCAAACTCCTGGATTCCACTGGCCAACCCTGTTCTTTCCGCAGGCTTCCCCGTCTCAGGAAATGGCAACCCTTCTTACTGCTCAAGTATAATCCTTGGCGTCATCCTTTGCTCTTCTCTTACTCTCATATCCCGCTTTCAAATCCATCTGCAAATTCCATCAGCTCTACTTTCAGAACACGTGGAGTGACGGCAACCCCGGCACCACCTGAGCTGCTCGCCCCAGCCACTGTCATCTCCCGTCTAGTGTCCTGTCTGTTTTCCCTGCTCCCACTCGTATTTTCCAACACAGCAGCCAGAATGATCCTCTTCGATGTAAGTCTGGGGCCGGAAGTGATAGCTCACGCCTATAATCCCAGCGCCTTGGGAGGCCGAGGCAAGAGGATCACTTGAGGCCAGGAGTTCAAGATCAGCCTGGGCAATGTAGGAAACCCCATCTCTTAAAATATAAACCATAGAAAAATTAGCCCAGTGTGGTGCATTCCCCTGTAGTCCCAGCTACTCAGGAGGCTGAGGTGGGGGGGGATGGCTTGAGCCCAGGAGTTTGAGATTGTTGTGAGCCATGATGATGCCATGGCACTCTAGCTTGGGTGACGGAGCAAGACCCTGTCTCTAACAATAAATAAATAAATTTAGAAAACAAATAAATGTAAGTCTGATTATGTCTCTGCTCAGCTCAGACCCTCCAGTGCCTCCCCCTTGAACACAGTAAAATCCCAAACTGTACGATGACCTCCTAGGCCCTCCCTGACCCCTCTCATTTCCTAGGCCTCCAGCCCCTCTCCTCTAGCCATACTGACCTTCGTGCGGTTCTGCAAATGTACCAAGCCCATTTCTGCCTCAGGGCCTTAGTTAGCACTTGCTGTTCCCCCTGCCTGGAATATTCTTCTCCCAAGTAACAGCATAGCTCTCTACTTCACTTCCTATATGTCTCTGCTCAAGGTTACTTTCTCTATGAACCTTCTATGACCACCGTATCCAAAACGGTGCGCGCACACACACACACACACATGCACAGTCATGTACACGTGCACACACATGCAGTTGTGTACACGTCTCTCTTCCCTCTTGTCCTGCTTTACTCTTTATCATCTTATCTTTCAGTATGTGACATGTTATGAATTTACTCAATTGTTTATTTCTTACTCCTCCACTTTAATAAAACCTCCCTGAATTTTCCCCTGCTGCTGTGTTCCAGGTGCCTAGAAACAGTGTCTGGGACGTAGCAGGTCCATGATAAATACTGATTGAATAAGTGCTGAGTAAGCAAATGAGTGAATGAATGAATGAATGAAGACAGGAGACCAGGAATGAAGACAGGAGACCAGGAATGAAAGTGGAATTACCAGGGCAAGGGGCTGATCTCTCCTGTAGATCTTGTCACCTGTTGCTCTAGTTTAGGAATGTGAGAATGCATGAGTGCACCTGACTTCCTTCCACGCCCCCCCCCCCAGCTCCTTAGCATGTTTCTCTTTTTGATAAAAAATTATTTCTTTTTAGGTTTTATAAATTTTAAGGCGGTAGCATTTGGCACGGTTCCAGTCCCATGCTGTCCCATATTCTAGGTCGACTATAATGCATCTTTTCTGTACTGATATATAATGCCACATTTATCATATGCTAAGTTCCAATATATCCATGGAGCTATGTCTGGATTCTGCATTCTGTTGCACTGGCTTGTTTGTCTATTACTGTAATAAAACTTTTTAACTACTATAGCTATGTATTAGCTACATTCCTGTCTTCATTCCTGGTCTCCTGTCTTCAGTCCTGGTCTCCTGTCTTCATTCCTGGTCTCCTGTCTTTCAAGTCTGTGCCATGGCCAAGCAGAAAGGAGGGAGGTGACAGCAGAGCTTGAGCTGCTCTGACCAGGGGTCCTGTCACTGTGGGGAATGATTCTCTCTGTGCTGGCAGATGCCTGCATTTCTGATTAGCCACTCGGCATTGCTCATTTGCTCGACATCAAGGAACCTTAGAGGAATTGGCTTTTAAAAAGATGTTTAAAATTATAGAAAATGGAAAAGGACACCTAAAAATGCCCCCCCCCCATCTAAAAATAGGCTGAAGATGTCCTACAGATGTGAAATTGTGTCTATGTAATACATGTTACTTGGGGGCAGCAAAGTGTGGCCCAAAGAGCAAGGACTGGACCAAATTCGAATCCTCTCTGTCCCCTGGGCTAACTGTACCCTTTCTGGTCCCAGATAAGTTCTTCCCTTATCTGGAAAATGGGAACATAATACCCGCTGTGCAGGGCTCTTGGGAGGATTAATACTGTAATCACAAACACTTTAGCAAACACTTTACGTGTGTAATAATTTGAGCACTTGCCAGGGGCCAGACACTGTGCTGAGCTTAGAATGTGCATCAGATCACCTTGCAACCACAGCAGCCCTCTGAGGCAGTATCATTATTCCCCTTTCACAGCTGAGTAAACCAAGGCAGCTGATGTGCATCTGCACAATGGGGTCCGTGCCATATGGGCTCTAGAGTATTTCTAGTATTGTCTCCAGAGGGCAATCGAGTTGCTCCAGGTCATCCCAGGATTTGAGCCCTACCTGCCTGGATCCAGAATCTGTTTTTGGGAACTTTATACTTTTTGGAAAACTTTCAATTCTACTTTAGTTTTAAAGCTTGTAGTCCTTGGCCGGGCGTGGTGGCTCACGCCCGTTATCCTAGCACTCTGGGAGGCCAAGGCTGGTGGATTGCTCGAGGTCAGGAGTTCCAAACCAGCCTGAGCAAGAGCAAGACTCCGTCTCTACTCTAAATAGAAAGAAATTAATTGGCCAACTAATATATATAGAAAAATTCAGCTGGGCATGGTGGTGCATGCCTGTAGTCCCAGCTACTGGGGAGGCTGAGGCAGAAGGATCGCTTAAGCCCAGGAGTTTGAGGTTGCTGTGAGCTAGGCTGACGCCACGGCACTCACTCTAGCCTGGGCAACAAAGCGAGACTCTGTCTCAAAAAAAAAAAAAGAAAGAAAAGAAAAGAAAAGAAAAGAAAGAAAAGAAGAAAAGAAAAGAAAAGAAAAAAGCTTGTAGCCCTTTATTTTTCAGTGTGTGGTGGCTCGGTTTTAGGAGTGTTGACCCGGGGCCACAGTCTTGGGGTGGGTGTCGGCTAGAAGAGTCCTCTCAGGCAGTACAGTGCTGGGTCACATTAATCCTGGCTTTGTTTAAAACATTGATATTTTGTTCATTATGCATACTTTTGTATAAAGTTTGATTTTTAAAAATATTGCATGCAAATATCATTCATTTCGGTTGCCAAGTTTTGTGTTGCCCCTTAAATTTTTCCCGTAAAGTTAGTGCTTTGCTTGCCTCCCTGGAGTTCCTGCCCAGCTAGACCTGCCCACCCACCCCAATAAACGGATCTCTCCCAGGAAACAGAAGCAGGAAGTGCAGGGGCTTCCAAAACTCGTATTAGTTGGTTGCCAAGGCAGGGATACATTGGTACAAAAGGGTGAGGAAATACTCCGGTCGGCGGCACTGAGGGGATGTCGGCACAAGTGTGCCTGTGCTCTGGGGCCCTGCAGCACAGGGGACACGGCCCCTCCTCTGACCTCCCAGAGAAGAAGTACTTTGCGACTTTGAGAAAAGCAAAAGTACAAAACGCCACGTATACAAATTGTGAAATAGCAGGCACCATTCTATCATTGGCCCTCTCTTTTTTTAAAGTTATTCTTAGAGACTCACTATGTTGCCCAAGCTGGTCTCAAACTCCCGGCCTCGAGTGATCCTCCTGCCTCAGCCTCTCAAGTAGGTAGGCCTATAGGCATGAGCCACAAAGCTCTCTTAATGGAGGGGCAGGGCCTAGATGGTGGCCATTCCTTCGATACACAGTGACTGCGGCATGAGGCACCCCGAACACTCAAGGCTAGCAGACCCCTGGGTGCACCCATCACTTAGGTGTAGAAACTCACGCTCATTCAGCTGGGTTTGTTCCCACACTTGTTTGCGTCTGTTCTGCTTGCAGTAATGAAATCTGATTAAACGTGTAACTAACAAAATATGGGTTCAAAAAGAGAGTTGTGATTTATATGGAAACTAAGTTAAATGATTGGAAGAGACTGGATAACCATGGCTCTTAAAAAAACATTCTCTTGAATTAATGTCTGAGAAAGTGGAAAGATTGGGGGAAAACATCATAAAAGTCTGGATGGGCTCGTTACTCAGATTGCTTCATGAGTGTTTCGAGGTTTCTGCTCTAAAGAAATGAACTTGTAGATGATATATTATGGGGATGATTTATATGAGAAAGACAGTTAAAACTAAAAAGATTTGGCCAGGCGAGGTGGCTCACGCCTGTAATCCCAGCACTCTGGGAGGCTGAGGCGGGAGGATCGCTCAAGGTCAGGAGATCGAAACCAGCCTGAGGAAGAGCGAGACACCCGCTCTACTAAAAAAAAAAAAAATAGAAAGAAATTAATTGGCCAATTAAAAATATATATAGAAAAACTTAGCCAGGCATGGTGGTGCATGCCTGTAGTCCCAGCTACTTGAGAGGCTGAGGCAGGAGGATCCCTAGAGCCCAGGAGTTTGAGGTTGCTGTGAGCTAGGCTGACGCCACGGCACTCTAGCCAGGGCAACAGAGTGAGACTCTGCCTCAAAAACAAACAAACAAACAAAAAACAACTAAAAAGATTAAAAATAAACGTGAATGAACATTTATTTACATGGTCTAAATTAAGATAAAACGTTTAAAGCATATACATATGATTTAAAATAATTTATCTATAATCGGCTTTTCAATTACTCA